CTTGAACAGTTATCAACATGGCATGATATAACCACATCATCCTATCCTAGGGTTTTGAGGTTCTTACCGCCTGTGAGGAGGAAGTTCTCAGCTTCTTCATTGTCAAGGAAGGAATTGCGCCACTTTCGTTGGCACCGTATATTAAGGAGCCACGATAGTGGTGTCTGAGGGATGCGATCAATCGAGGGACGAGGGGGTGAAAAAGAGAGCGGGTGGAGCGGAGTGGGGAGTGATAGGAAGGGGAGGTGATGGAATAAATGGTGCTTGTTCTTCGAGGAACGAGAAATCTCACATTTTCTTTTGTGTACCTTGCATCGATCATTTTGCACTGGGATTGGCTCGCTTGAGAATGATTAAATCAAGCCTTCCTCATGGGCATTTCCTATTTAGCGCTTCAGGCGCCGATTATAGGCCATTTGGCAAACAGGCGCACAACCCTCCCCCCCCTCCCCCCCACGCGCGCTGGGCCATCTCATTTCAAAAGAAAAATCTGGTTTTAATACGCAAAAAATGATGCTCCGTGGGAGAGATTCGAACTAGCGATCTCCATCATAACTATATATCACACTAACAAACCAGACCGACCACCACTTGTGAAAATCTATTTTCTTTCCCATTTTATACTTTCTCCAGTCGGGTTTTTTCTAGACCTTTTTTTGTATTTATATTTTCTATCTTATTCTGTTTCTTTTGTTTGAAAGTGGACAAATTTTTCATATTTGTTGAACTTTTTTTCAAATTGATGATTTAAAAAAAATGCACCATTTTTCAAATTCAATTAGCTTTTTTAAAATTCATTGAACTTTTTTTCCAAATCGATGAACTTTTTTCCAAACCTGATTCAGTTTTTCTAATTCGATGAACTTTTTTTTAAATCATTGAACTTTTCTCAAATTCGATGAAGGTTCTTCAAAATAGATGAACTTTCTTATGGCAAGACCGATGAATTCTTTTCATATTTGTGGTTATTTCTTGAAATTTAAGAATTTTTCCAACTTCATAAAAAAATTCAAATCTGATAAAAAAATTCTATTCGTGATTATTTTAAAATTTCGTGAACTTTTTCTCGAATTAATGAACTTTTTTCATCTTTATGAACTTTTTGAGAATTCATGAACTTTTTTTTAGTAGGGCAATTTTTTTTGCATCTTCATAAACTTCTTTAGAAATATGTGAACTTTCAAATTTTGATCACTTTTTTTTAGGAAAATCACATATGAGCGGGCTATAAACGTTCTTGAAGTATAAGCATCACTTGTAACGTGATGCTCTAGTGGTTAGCCAGGCAGTTGCATGATTGTAGGGCGCGGGCTTGAATCCTTGGGGCAGCTTCTTTTTTT